TTCGTTCGTCCCTCCCGTTTGACCCTCAACTCCGTTTGATCCTTATAATCACTCTTTTCACGTTGAACAATTATCGAGGCCATAGGTATCTTATAAGAAGCCCACGGAACTCAATATTCTGGAGGGGATAAAATTGCCGAGAGTGGGGGTAGGCTTCGAGCGCTCGGAGCTCGAGGTATCTTATATAAAGCCTCGACTGTAATCTCATTTTTCTAACGTTATTTATAACGTGACTAAATCTACCGTATTATAATCTAAAACTATCATATATCATAACATAGTCGACAATTGAGGAGAAATAAATAAAGTTTTGAGACATGCTTTTTTACACTGTTAAAAATTTTAGTCTAAATTTTCCGTACCAAATTCGGAAAATTTCGATCGTGTTCAAGTTCAACTGAAATTTCAGGAAATCTTGTCATTGAAAAATTAAATATTCGATTGATTTTCTGTTCAAATGATCTAAAATCAATAAAATCCTTGATTTTTCAGTTCAATTATTCTGTGAAAATTCAGAAAAATCAGGAAAATTCAGAGAAAAATTGAAATTGAATTGTTTCTGAATATACATGTTCCACTGAAAATTCAATCTAGTTGCGAAATTCCCATGTCACTCTCCCTGAAACCTCAATTTTCGTAAATTCTACTTAAAACTTGAAATCTCATAACCATTTTTTCCTTAAATTCGATTCAATGTCACTCTCATGAGATTTCCTGTAAAAGCTTTCCTGAAATTTCAAAAAATTTCTACCACTATTTTTAAAATCAAAATCGCAGGATAAGAGGAGGATCATTGGATATCCTCAAATTTACGGAGAAAAGTCTCGATCCCATTCATACTCTCCCATCCACTCACCCCCAGAAAAATGGTTTATTTTAATTAACTAAATTTTATTAGAATCCAACAAATCCTCCATTAGAATCAAATAAACGATTCATTTGAGTGACATAAAGTTTATTTAATTAGTAGTGAAGTGGTAAACGGAGATAAGTCGACTTATCTCCTAGTTGAGTTTTTGAGGAATATTTCCGAATCTAAGGGAGATATCGAAATTTTTGTAATCACATTTGTTACAGCTCTCAATCGGCTCTACAAAAACGGTTATAACAAAGATTTTGCTATCTCCCTTAGATTCCAAGATATTGATTGAAAACTGGCCAATAATCAAAATTGACTTATCTTTTTTTACCACTTCGCTACTGAAGTCAAATAAATCATTTTTCTGCGTGCATGTTCCCCCCTCCCAGAGAATACTTTCGCCTCCCCCAATGCTCGGAATCAGGGCGCGCAATTGGCGGTATCGCGGCTGCTTTAATGTCAGATAAATGCTGGATTATCGTAACCATGTTGTTGTGGGTTGGTCCTGCGGGAGAGGTTGACTACTGCGGAAAAGCGCTTCGCAGACGATAAACTCAGGCTCTCTCAACAGTGCGAAAGCACTAGGCAACACTGGCCTCCTATCCGCTGGACTGGTCCCGCAGGACAGCCGTTGTACACCTTGCCAGGACAAGTTATGTGCCATTCTCACCCCTTGTGGGCCATCCAGCCAGTCCCACCGTTACACTGACGAGCTCTATGTATCTCTTTTGACTTTTCTCTCCCAGTTTTATATGAATAAACTGGGGAAAAGCAAAGTTCTCTCGGTATACGAGGCAAGTGAGGCGCGGGGGGGAGGAAAGTTCCGCTGGTGAAAAAAGAAATTGTGAAGAGAAATATAATCCACTGAGACGTCGAAAAGTCAGGTATCGAACCCACTTTTCTCCCTCCATCGAGTTATCGTTTCCTCTCCTAACTTGCACTCGCTGGCTCTTATTCTTGATACGCCACTACCGTAGTCCTGGATGAATATATCAAATCGAATAATGTTGGGTGAGTTTTTTGTCTGCTACGGGTTTGGAGAGATAAAATGGAATTCTAGCGGGACGATGCATATAAGGGTTTTTATGGTTTTATTGGATCGTTGAGTGTCACCGGTGTGATAGGGGGAGGGCTGATGGGAAATATATCGGCGGTCGTTATCAATTGGGGGGGGGGGTTTGAGATGAGAATGTTCATCTTGGATGGGGAATAATTCTTTTATGAGCGCATGACACCAGTCGCTTTGGAATGAAGCGATTTGGCGTGATTATATATACACGGAGAGAAATATTCAGTAAAAATTACCAGAAAAAAGACGTAAAAATTACGTTTCGAAACGTAATCTGGGAGCGAAGTAAAATTCAATAAAAAGTGTCAATCGTCACGTAAATTCTACGATCTGTTCCGTAAAAATTACTCATCCGTCCGACGCCTCACGGCTAGCCATGAGTCACCGTGAGGGGGAGATTTTAACAACACGTTCCGTAATTTTTCCGGAACTTTTCGTAAAAATTCTTAAACATCCAAGAATTTTCATGTTCTGAGGCATAATAAGTCTTGAAGTTTCTGTTAGATTTTACAACTTCCAGAAAAATTACGTGACTTTTTCGTATTTTTTCGGTGACAGACCCGAAAATTTACTGAACGTTTCAGATTTATTCTCTTATATTCCTATAGAAATTCACTGAAAACGATTCTTGCTTGCGGATTACGTGAAATGTTCCGTAATTTTTCTTGAATATTTCTCTCCGTGTATATACACCCGCATTGTTAACAATTTTCTTCTGAATTTAGCCGGCGAAAGTCCGGAAGGTTTTAGCGTGTTCAAGTTCCACTGAAATTTCGGGAAATCTTGACAGTGAAAATTAAATATTTCGTTGATTTTCTGTTCAAATGCACGGAGAGAAAATTCAATAAAAATTACGGACCAATTCACGTAATCCGCAGTGGGGAATCGTTTTCCGGCAATTTTTATAGGAATGAAAGAGAAGAAATCTGAAACGTTCAGTGAATTTTCAGGTTCATCACCGAACAAAGTACGAAATTGTCACGTAATTTTTCCCGAAGAAGTAAAATCGTACAGTAATTTGCCGACTTATTATGCCTCCAAAATCAAAAATTCTTGAACGTTCAACAATTTTTATGAAGCTGGTGAGTTATTTCTACGTTCCGTTCCGTAAAATTTCTCAATCGTTGGGGAAAAATTACGGACCAACAAATCGTAGAATTTACGTGACGATTCGTACAATTTCAGTTCCGACGCACACTTTTTATTGAATTTTAATTCCCTCGCGGATTACGTTTCGGAACGCAATTTTTACCTTTTTTTCTGGTAATTTTTATTGAATTTTTGTCTCCGTGAAACTATTATAAGTACTATACCCAGCCTCATGTCGAAGATACAACTTTGCTCTTAACCTGCCAACATTAGCGGGATCCGGCATCGCCTTGCGGCCGCGAAGCTCGAAACATCGGCATTGTATTTTCTAATGGATTCGACACCCAGGTTTAATTTCCCCAAGCCTCCCTGTACATACTTACCGACTACTTACCATTATTACACCCGTCGCTATTACTTACCGACATTGGTAACAAGCGCGAGTGCACTTGATTGCAACAAACTCCGGCCTTCTGCTGCGGCCCGGGGTGGGAGTCTCTCCTTGCACGTGACGCCTTGCAGTCCTACAAATAATCAGTGATATTAGTTCAGGGGGTTACAGTTGCACGATGGCTTACCAGTTTTGAGCTTTGGTGTAAGCTTCGTTCCGTTGAAAATGCGACCCTGCGTGACTGGGATGAAAGAGAATTGAGAAAAAACGGAAATGAAAAAGGGGTTATTGCTGCGAATCACGAACGGTGTTGTTGAAATTTATGATTCATAATTTTTATTTGATATGTCGTTTTATATTTCAGCAGTGGGAAATCATTCCCGGCACTTGTAATTTTAATATGCACGGACAGGTTTAATCCAACACTGATGGGAACTGTTGTTTCCATTAAAGCGTAACAAATTGCGAGGGAATTTTTTTTTTTCGGCAGAAATTGATGTCTATCGGGTGAATACATCAATAAATGAAATCAAATGATTTGAGGGTTTGGATATGCGATTTTGTTGGCTCGAAAAAGACTTGTGTGAGAACTTATTTGTTTTTCTGTCAACGTTAGTTGAATTTCATTTTTCAAAAATCGTTGCCTCGAAGTAGGTCTGAAGAGATCTTTTGTCGTGTTGAATCAATTTACTTGTGGACAAAAAAGAAAGTTTCCACCAAAACGTGATAATTTTCGTAGTAGTAATTGTTCTCGTGAGACATTTATATGTCTTTTGGGTAAATACATTCGTTCTACAGAGAATTAGATGAGCCTCCGGTTTTATCAAGTGAATGTTATTGAGTAGTGTATATCTTTGTCCAATAAACACTTATAATTTCCATGGAACAAATGATAATTTCAAGAGGAAACTACAATTTTCCTGCCGACAACTGTGTTATTGGCAAAACTAAATAATTTCGAGGGGACAATTTTTTTGGGAAAAAAATATTCTTTCCTCGTCAATGTATTCTTTCTGTGGTATAAACCTATGGAGTTCTCTCAGATCAAATGATTGCCGTACAATAGATTTTTTTTTTCCTCCCAACAGTTCGAATTCTTCTAGCGATAATTTCTAATGATCACGACAAAAATTTAATTTTTGTGAAAGATATTAAATTTTCTTCTATCAAGTTGGTTAATTTCCCTCAACTAAATCCGTTCCACTCCATCAAGTATTCTCGCCTGGAAAATATATTTCAGTAGTGAAGTGGTCAAACGGTTTAAGTCGATTTTGGCCAATAGCCAAAATCGATTTAAATAAATATCTCGAAATTTAAGGGAGATAGCAAAATTGATCTCATAACCTTTTTAGTAGCACTCAATTCGCTCTATAAAAAAGCTTATTATGAAAATTTCACTATCTCCCTTAAATTCGGAAATATTTCTGAAAAACTTAACTAAAGACTAAATTTACTCTTGATATTGATTTGATATTGCGCCTAAAAAATACTCTCGGTCAGTTCTATAAACTCTGAAAGGGTTTTTTCCCCCAGAAAAAATAGCCCGAACTGCTTGGATGCCCTTAACAAAGAATCCCTTTTTATGATTCCAGATTCTCTCCCTCATGGATATTCAGAGACTGGCACGTGCATAACGGACTCCGCGGATCTAGTGCATCGGTGCATTTTTAACCGTACCCCAGGTAATGAAAACCCCTATAAAAATTTCATCCGCTTCGATAACCGAAGGCATCTGTCCCAGCACGGCTGATCTATTCTGCATGAACGGAAATAGAGACCCCCGGACAGACCCTTTCATCGACGGAATCACGAAAATTCATTGGGAGAGGAGATATTTTAGAGGAGAATAAAAGATACGTGATGTCTTATTCTCATTGGGGAAGTCGCAAATATCGAGGGAAAATTCTTGCAATAACTGAAAGGAATTGATTTATACAAATTTCCAAATTTATTAAACATTTCTTACAAATTATTTCAAAATTCGAGATGTTGAAGAAATCTGAAATTCGTTGACTATGATTTTTTGTTCGAAAATTTGAAGATGAATTAGAATAATGAATTCTTTAAATAATAAACTTCGGATTGACTTTTTAATTAAATTTTCAAGCACTCTCTTCTCGTGAATCGATAAGGCAAGCATTTTACGATTCTGAGAACTATTCTTTCATGATGACATGGATATCTGGATAATTCATCAATATCCTTAATACCTCCGTTCATCCATAACGGCATTTATTACCCATAAAAAGGGTGATTAATTTTAAAAGCACTTTCGTCAATCAATGATTACTTCGCCCAGTGAAAGATCCATTCATTCTATGTTCATCTCCTTTCGCATAATGCATTCATTTTCAACCGAAAAGCGCATGTTTCTACTCGGTACACTGGGAGAAAAAATAAGCTCTGACGGAAAACCATATATGTTCAACAGATTCGCTTGAGGGTAATTAACCGACTTGATAGAAGGAAATTTAATATCTTTCACAAAAATTAATTTTTTGTCGTGATCAGGAGAAATATTCCTAGAAGAATTCGAACTGTTGGCAGGAAAAAATATAATCTATTGTACGAAAATCATTTGATCGGAGAGAACTCCATAGGTTTATACCACAGAAAGAATACATTGACGAGGAAAGAATATTTTTTTCCCAAAAAAAAGTCCTCGAAGTGATTTAGTTTTGCCAATAACACACTTATCGGCAAGAAAATTGTAGTTTCCTCTTGAAATTATCATTTGTTCTATGGAAATTATAAGTGTTTATTGGACAAAGATATACACTACTCAATAACGTTCACTTGATAAAACTGGAGCCTCATATAATTCTCTGTAGAACGAATGTATTTACCGAAAGACATATAAATGTCACACGAGAAGAATTACTACTACGAAAATTATCATGTTTCGGTGGAAACTTTCCTTTTTGTCTAAAAGTAAATTGATTCAACACGATAATAGATCTCTTCAGGGAAACATGTAATTTTTCGACAGAACCAATTTTTTCTCTCGGTGTATTTTCGTGGTTCTGTCTTAGTGGTTCTGTCGTCCATTTTCTATGATTTATTTCAGTAATTGTTGGGAATTTATCGCCTGCGGGCTTCGTCTCACGAGTAAATGATGAATTTAACGATTCTGGAAATTGATTCTCTCGTCATGACATCGATATCTGAATAATTCATCAATAATCTTAATTTCTATATTCATTTCCTCGACATTGTTCACCCAGTTGTGAGATTCATTCATCCATTTTCACTTTCCTCTCGCGTAATGCATTCACTTTCAACGGAAAAGCGCATTTTTCAATCCGGGAACCGGTAATTTCCCCTGAAATTTCATCATCGCCCGTGGAGCTGCGAGTGACAGACCGGTTTTCACTTACGACGGAATACAAGTATTCTCGAATTTCAGCGGTTTGACCCTCATTACGGAGACATTCCTCACCAGCATTTTGTCTGGGAGAGGCGAGGACGTAGTTAAATGATAGCCAAGATGACTGTCAATATTTTCATTACACGATCAATCATATTCTTCACGGGGGCATTCCTCTCTCGAAACCGACGCTATTCAGATTTATTTCGGCGTGGTGATGGGGAGATAAAGGTCACAGGAGGATAGGCCCTCAACAGATGCTACTAAAACGTAAATAGAGGACGACAGAAAGTTGTGGGCATTCTTTCAAAGGTTATGATGAGGCATTTGTGTTGAGGTAATCGTCGGGTCTGACAGATAAATTGTGGAGAATGGATAGTTGTTTGGATATTCTGTGCATCTCAATTCTCCCTCTATTTTATAAACTTATTGATATATTAGTCAAACGGTTAATGGTGCACGGAGAATAGTTTTGCACCCATAGATGTGTTTTTTTTTCACCGAACGAATCGTAAAATATCCTCCACAAACAGGTATTTTTTCATTGAATTACATTTCGCTCCATGATTACCTTTCGTACAGTAAAATTTACGATTTTCTAGGTAATTTTTATCCAACTTTTCTCTCCCTGTAGTGTTTTCTTGCGGAAAGAACTGAATACGACCTTATTAAACCACAAAATTATGTTAGATCCATTTAAATTGGAATTTCAAGATAGACCGCTTTGAATCATTCCCCCGAGTTATGCCTTTTCTTCTAGATGTAGAGATACAGATGGAGAGTCGTTGGTGTTTGTATTCAGCTACTGGGCCACCTTGCGGTGGCGTCTCTATACTCAGGTGGTCATAACCTCCCTAATTGACCTCTCATACCCAATAAATTTTCTTGAAACACAAAACTAGTGATGAGTGGATTTTAATATTATTGTAATCATGACTGAAAAATTCTTCTGACACTCCGAATAGTTGCAATTTCACCCTTTGAATGAACCTGTTCAATGGCCTCAAACCCATGACCTTCAGGTGGGTGCAAGAAAAAAAATAGCCTAATGGTGTGAGAAATTTTACTATACAGGAGGATAATTTTTGCATCTATAGATGTATTTTTTTACCGAAATAGTAAAATACAGATATTTTTTTATTAAATTTGCCACGGTTTTGTTGGTAATTTTTATCCAACTTTTCTCTCCGTTAAGGAATATAACAGTTGAGAATCAGGAGATTTGACGACAATATTTTCCATTTAAGAATTTCGCGAAATTTAGAAAGAATTTGCGATTTTTTTCTTTTTACACAGAAATTGGAAAAATTAATTCAATTATTCACACGTTCTCTTCTTAGAAAAAGATGGAAATATTAAAGAAAAAAAAATTTCCTCTTCGTAAACTCGAGTCTGAAGACCAGAAATTTTTCATGAGGAGCATACGTTGCAGCGAGGGTGCAACCCCATGGCAGTTTATGAAATTATGACGGACCGATTAATTGAGTAGACATTGTGGAAGCCAGCTCTTTCCAGCGTGGTCGAATAAACCCGATACACGTATTCGCACCGCAAATTGTAATTATCCAAATCCCCCGTGAGAGAGCCAAATTGTTCGACACAGTCTACCTGTTATATTCACCCGGAGGCATGTCAACCTCATGAATATCACCTACTCCCCAACTCCCCATTCTCGTAAATTGTTCATGACTTTTTGGAATATTTATGCCCAGTATTTCAACACTGTTGTTTGCTTGACGAATATGATTCGTAATTTTGTCAGCGTAGGATGGGTATATTTTTAGAACGCGGGAGTTGGGACTTTTTAAGTGCCCTGAAGAGCGTACTGAGAAGAATATTTGATGGAGTGGAACAGATTTACTTGAGGGAAATTAACCGACTTGACAGAAGGAAATTTAATACCTTTCACGAAAATTAAATTTTTGTCGTCATCATCAGAAATATCCCTAGATGAATTCGAACTGTTGACGGGAAAAAATATAATCTATTGTACGACAATCATTTGATCTGAGAGAACTCCATAGGTTTATACCATAGAAAGAATACATTGACTCCGAAAGAATATTTTTTTCCCAAAAAAAATTGTCCCCTCGAAATTATTTAGTTTTGCCAATAACACAGTTATCGGCAAGAAAATTGTAGTTTCCTCTTGAAATTATCATTTCTTCCATGGAAATTATAAGTGTTTATTGGACAAAGATATACACTACTCAATGACATTCACTGGATAAAACCGGCGCCTCATCTAATTCTCTGTAGAACGAATGTATTTACCCGAAAGAAATATAAATGTCTCACGAGAACAATTACTACTCCGAAAATTATCATGTTTTGGTGGAAACATTCTTTTCGTCCACAAGTACATTGATTCAGCGCGACAAAAGATCTTTTCAGGGGAAGAATTATGTGTTCCCGTGAAGAGATAATTCTTGAATCGAGAAATGCAAATCCTCTCTTGACTTCTAGTTCACTTAGCCCAAAAAATCTCAGCTGAGTTTTTGAGGAATATCTCCAAATCTAAAAGAGATAGCAAAATTTTTGACAAGACCTTTTTTGTAGCTCTTAATCCGCTCCACCAAAAAGTTTATAACAACAATTTTGGTATCTGCTTTAGATTTCGAAATATTCACTAAAAACTAACCAACAGTCAAAATCGACTTGATTCGTTTTACCACTTCGCCACTGAATTATCTACTTGAAAGAAATACCTTTTCTCAGTGTCAGTGGTGCATTAAATCAGTTCCAAGATACATGACGTATTGAGACATTCGGAGTACCCCAGTGATTTATTATTCACCTTGATATCGAAGACTCAAGCGCAGAGTCGTACATCAGAATACATTTCGTGGGATCTGATCTGACCTTGTTAACATCGAGAACGTTTCCTACCCTGTCGACGAAATTACACGAATCAATACTCGTTAAAAACTCAGTGGCTCCTGAAGAAATAATCCAGCACATCTGCACGCGTTACCAAAAGTTCTCCCGTTAAGATTGCCCGATTACATCGGAATACTCGTTTAGCAATCATCCCAACGTTCTTGTTATCGTTTGAATGCTTATCGATTTAGTGGTTAAATTGATTCGTGATTGAAAGGTTGTGGGATAGCGCGTGTGATATCGACTCTTAAAGTTAGTGTTATTGAATCGTTTGGTGTATTCACACGACATGAGCTCGTGTACCTGGATTACGGTGGGTTCGAGAATAATTCGAGAAATTCATTATTTAAACCGGAAAAAATTCACACAAACTCATACATTTCGTACCAATGAGTTCTGTCGAAAAACTATGTGATCCGTGTGGGAATATTTGAT